TTTCCAATGGACGAGGAACATAGCGGTGGCTTTTTGCCCTTGTTTTCGCCTGGCCTGGTAATCTATGTTAGCCTCAATCTCCCGATCATGTGAGGCGATGATAGCCATTGGTACTCGACTTGATTGGCCCCTACTCTGATCATCCTTATCTTCATGATATGGCTTAAGCATGCTGGCATGGAAGACAGGGTAGATCTTAAGATACGATGGCATGTCAAGCTTGAATGAGATCTTGCCTACCTTGCCGACGATCTTAAATGGCCCCTCATACTTGCGAATTAGATTCTGATGCATGCCCCGTAGTGCTTTGAACTGTCTTGGGTTAAACTTCACCGTGACCATGTCCCCAACTCTATAGTTCGTGGGACGCCGCTTACGGTCCGCAAGCTTCTTCATCTTCTTAGCTGCCTTATCCAAGTAAGACTTAGCAGTGTCGAGCTGTTCCTCCCATCCTTTGGCCATATGATAAGCCCCCCAAACTCTTTCCCTCGAACACGACTGGTAATGAATATGGAGTTTGTGGTTGTTGGCCTGTGGCTAGCTCAAATGGTGTCCGCCCTGTGGACTCACTCCGCTGCAAGTTATAAGAGAATTGGGCAATGTCTAGGAGCCTTGCCCAATCTTTATGATGCGCGCTTACATAATGCCTCAAGTCGCATTCTAGTAAGGCATTGACCCGTTCTGTTTGTCCATCCGTCTGTGGGTGAAAACTAGTAGAAAAGTGCAGTTCCGTGCCAAGTATGTCGAACAACTCTCTCCAAAAGTTCCCAGTGAAGCGGGGGTCTCGATCACTGATGATATGCCTTGGTAAGCCCCAATACTTTACCACATTCTTAAAGAATAGCTTGGCGGCTTCCTTAGCTGTGCAACCCGGTGAGGCGGGCATGAAGGTGGCATATTGGGAAAATCTATCCACGGCCACCATAATAGTACCATAACCGTCGGACTTCGGTAGGCAAGTAATAAAGTCCATAGTCACGCTCTCCCATGGATGCTCTGCAACTGGTAGTGGCTTCCAAAGTCCTCCGGGCTGTTGTTGCTCCACCTTGTCCTACTGACATACAAGACAAGTCTGCACATAACATTCTATATCATCTCGCATGTGTGGCCAATAGTAGACTGACTCAACCAAGGCCTTGGTGCGATATTGACCTGGATGACCAGCCCACATTGCACCATGACTCTCCCTTATGATCCACCGTCTAATGTCCCCAAACTTAGGCACGTAGACCCGCCGACCTGTGGTAAGTAGTAGGCCGTCTTCTATCCAAAACCTTCTCGTCTTGCCTTTGTTGGCTAACTCGATAAGCTGTTTGGATGCTAGATCATGTTGCATGCCTTCTTTTATAGCCTCCCGAATATCCCATCTCGCTGAAGTGATTGCAGCAAGCTCGGCTTTCCGGCTCAAGGCATCGGCTACAACATTACCTTTTTCCGGCTTATACTCTAGTGCATAATCAAACTCGACCAAGAAATCCTGCCACCTAGCCTGCTTTGGTGTGAGCTTCTTCTGTGTCTGAAAGTAGCTAGTAGCCACATTATCAGTCTTGACCACGAACCTCGACCCGAGCAGATAATGTCTCCATGTACGAAGGCAATGCACAATGGCAGTCATTTCCTTCTATTGCACCGTGTAATACCGCTCCATCTCATTTAACTTGCGGCTCTCAAATGCTATGGGATGCTTATCCTACATCAGGACACCCCCAATGGCGAAGTCTGAGGCATCTGTGTGCACCTTAAATGTCTTGGCAAAGTCAGGTAACGCCAAGACTTGCTCTTCTGTTACATCTGTCTTAAGGCCTTCAAATGCCTTTTGACAATGCTCCGTCCAAACCCATGGCTTGTTCTTCTTTAGCAACTCAGTCAATGGTGCGGCCTTTGCTGAATATCCACTAATGAACCGGCGATAGTAGTTAACAAGGCCAAGGAAGGATCTCAACTCAGTTACCTTTATGGGTGCCTCCCACTCCTGGATAGCACGTACCTTAGCATCATCCATGTGTAGCTCGCCATTGCTAATGACATGGCCCAAGAAGTGCACATTTGATTGCGCGAACTCACATTTGTCCCTTTTGATGTATAGCTCATTCTCTCGCAAGACTTGGAAAACCTTCCGTAAGTGCTCCATATGCTCCTCCAAGGTGTTGTTGTAGATGACTATGTCGTCTAGGTAGACTACCACGAACTGATCAAGGTAGGGATGAAAGATCTTGTTCATAAGGGTGCAAAATGTGGCCGGTGCATTGGTTAAGGCGAAAGGCATCACCAACCACTCAAAGGCTCCATATCTCGTCACACATGCTGTCTTTGGCTCATCCCCTTCCGCAATGTGAACCTGGTAGTAGCCCTTTCGAAGATACACCTTGGTAAAGTACTTGGCTTGCCTAAGTCTATCAAACAAATCAGCAGTAAGTGATATCGGGTACTTATTCTTCACTGTAACCTTATTAAGTGCTCGGTAGTCTATGCACAAGCACATCGATCCATCCTTCTTCTTCTGGAACAATACTGGTGCACCGAAAGGTACCTTTGATGGGCGAATATGACCAGCATCCAACAACTCTTGCAATTGTTTCTTGAGCTCCTCCAGCTCGGGCGGTGCCATACGATATGGGGCAAATGCGGGTGGTTTAGCCCCTGGCTCCAACTAAATCTTGTGATCCACCTCTCGCCTAGGTGGCAAGTGCTTAGGCAACTCCTAGGGAATGACATCTTTGTTCTCCTCAAGCAACTTCTCTATGCAAGGCGGCATTGTCTCTTGAAAATTCTTGTCTTCCTCTAGACTTGCAATGGTTGCCACGAACGTGGGCTCCCCCTTCTTGATCCCCTTGACAACCTGCATAGCTGAGAGTCGTGCTTGGATCTGTTCGTGTGGCATAGTCACTGTAGGTACCATGCATGCTCCTTCTCGCTCCATAACCAAGAGACGTTGGAGGTAGGGGTCGATTAAAGTATGACAATGTCTAAAGAACTCTTGCCCCAGTATGATGTCAAAGATATCCATAGCGGTTACGGTAAAGTTTGTCATACCTTTCCAAGTTCCCAATTTGGTACCAACTCCATTAGCTACCCCACGAGCATTCTATATCTCGGCATTCACGGTCTTGACGCGAGAGTTAGTTGGAGCAAGCTTCAATTCTAGTCTCTTTGCGTCAGCCTCAATCACGAAATTATGAGTTGCTCCAGTGTCCACCATTGTACGAACACCTTTGAACACCTTTGTGCATCACGAACACCTTTGAACACCAAGGGTTTGGGAGCCTCGATCTTGGCCT